GACTCACAGGCTGAATGAGTCAAGGCGACTCGTGACTCTGGCACGCGCGCGTTGCTTGTCAACACGCGTGTCCACGCCACATGTACATCACTTCACGTGCGTTGTCACTCACAACAACAACAGCAGCCGCCATTCGCCACCAACTGCCGATGACGCCCCCACGGCGCTTGTGCCAGACTAGGTGCACGCTGAGGCTATCACTTGAACCGTTTCTGACAAGTCAGGGGCCAGACCCAGGTGCTATGGGTTGACTGAGAAGCACCACCCGTGAGCAACGCTCCTCGTTGTTGTTGGAGGGTGGCTGCCTCAGACTGCCCAGGGGCGTCCTTCACGAGCCTCTTCTGTAGAGGCCGCCGATCTTGACACCGCTGGTGCCGGTCATCGGCAAGTCCACTCAGCTCCACGTCCTCCTGTACCACATCACTCCATCTCCTCTCTATCCCGTGCCTCCTGTACCACATCACTCCATCTCTTCTCTAGCCCGTGCCTCCTGTACCACATCACTCCATCTCCTCTCTAGCCCGTGCCTCCTGTACCACATCACTCCATCTCCTCTCTAGCCCGTGCCTCCTGTACCACATCACTCCATCTCTTCTCTAGCCCGTGCCTCCTGTACCACATCACTCCATCTCTTCTCTAGCCACGTGCCTCCTGTACCACGTCACTCCATCTCTTCTCTAGCCCGTGCCTCCTGTACCACGTCACTCCATCTCCTCTCTAGCCCGTGCCTCCTGTACCACGTCACTCCATCTCTTCTCTAGCCACGTGCCTCCTGTACCACGTCACTCCATCTCCTCTCTAGCCCGTGCGTCCTGTACCACATCACTCCATCTCCTCTCTAGCCCGTGCCTCCTGTACCACATCACTCCATCTCTTCTCTAGCCCGTGCCTCCTGTACCACATCAGCTCCATCTCTTCTCTAGCCACGTGCCTCCTGTACCACGTTACTCCATCTCCTCTCTAGCCCGTGCCTCCTGTACCACATCACTCCATCTCCTCTCTAGCCCGTGCCTCCTGTACCACATCACTCCATCTCCTCTCCAGCCCGTCCCTCCTGTACCACATCAGCTCCATCTCCTCTCTAGCCCGTGCCTCCTGTACCACATCAGCTCCATCTCCTCTCTAGCCCGTGCCGTGCTCGTTTAGCCCCCTCGATCCGGCCAAACAGAAGCTGCCTGGTCATGCGGTGGTGGCTGGACGTACACAACACACCGCAACATTCAATACACACGCACGTGTACACAGCTCCACTACTACACGTGCACGTGCCATACACGGCAAACATTACGTAATCACACAGACAAAGATACCCCGTGCAGCCTTGAACAGGCTGTTGGGCAAAGATGCGCCCGGCCGCCTTTGTCTCCCACACGCTGATGTTTATACACCGCAGCAGGGACTGAAGGACCGGCTCTGATATTTGTCACAAATGTGTGTCCGTTCACGGCAATCGAACTCGGGTTGCCAGGTGCAGTAGCGAAGTGCACGAACCACTGTCCCACCGCTCCCAACACAGTGAACACAACGCCACAGCGTGTAGCACACCGACACGTGAACACACCGACACGTGAACACACCGACACGTGCACACACCGACACGTGAACACACCGACACGTGAACATACCGACACGTGCACACGCCGACACGTGAACACACCGACACGTGAACACACCGACACGTGAACACACCGACACTTGAACACAGCGACACGTGAACACACCGACACGTGAACACACTGACACGTGAACACAACGACACGTGAACACACCAACACGTGAACACACCGACACGTGCACACAACGACACGTGAACACACCGACACGTGAACACAACGACACGTGAACACACCGACACGTGAACACACCGACACGTGCATCACACAACGACACGTGAACACACCGACACGTGAACACACCGACACGTGAATACACCGACACGTGCACACAACGACACGTGAACACACCGACACGTGAACACACCGACACGTGAACACACCGACACGTGCAGCACACACCGACACGTGAACACACCGACACGTGAACACACCGACACGTGAACACAACGACACGTGAACACACCGACACGTGAACACACCGACACGTGCACACACCGACACGTGAACACACCGACACGTGCACACACCGACACGTGAACACACCGACACGTGAACACACCGACACGTGAACACAACGACACGTGAACACACCGACACGTGCATCACACAACGACACGTGAACACAACGACACGTGAACACACCGACACGTGAACACACCGACACGTGCATCACACAACGACACGTGAACACAACGACACGTGAACACACCGACACGTGAACACACTGACGGCTCCCCGTGTGGAACCTTCTTCACAAGCTGTCGGGGGCAAGTGCTGTTCGCAGGCACCGCGCCTGTCCGCCTTTGTCTTCTTACCGCTCTTCCGGGCGCTGCTCATTTGAGGCCGAGTCGACCTAGGAGCCCGCCGCACGTGCCTCGCCCTCGTGACCCCCAATTAAGGCCATAAATACCCCTATAAATACCCCGTCCCCATGGCAACCCGGCCCGAATCATCCGCATTGAGCCGATCTCGCACCCCTGTGACGTCACCGTCCGCCCCCCCCCCCTGCCCCCGTCCTTGACCTCAAGAGGAGGACGCAGAGCGAAGTCCCCTTGACCCTGCGTCATCCTTGACCCTGCGTCATCCTTGACCCTGCGTCATCCTTGACCCTGCGTCATCCCCTCGTGACGTCCCTGACGGTACCCCAGTGGTACCCCTGGGTCCCCTGGGTTCACACCGTGGTGTCCTCTAGGGAGCCCCGTGTGGTACCCCCCCGTGTCACCCCCCGTGTCACCCCCTGTGTTACCCCCCCCACCCTGTGTTACCCCCTGTGTCACCCCCCGTGTCACCCCCCGTGTTACCCCTGTGTCACCCCCTGTGTCACCCCCCTGTGTCACCCCCTGTGTCACCCCCTGTGTCACCCCCTGTGTCACCCCCCCGTGTCACCCCCCGTGTCACCCCCCGTGTCACCCCCTGTGGTACCCCCCCCACCCTGTGTTACCCCCTGTGTCACCCCCCGTGTCACCCCCCGTGTTACCCCTGTGTCACCCCCTGTGTCACCCCCTGTGTCACCCCCTGTGTCACCCCCTGTGTCACCCTGTGTCACCCTGTGTCACCCCCTCTGTGTCACCCTGTGTCACCCCCTGTGTCACCCTGTGTCACCCCCTCTGTCACCCTGTGTCACCCCCTGTGTCACCCCTGTGTCACCCCCCGTGTCACCCCCGTATCACCCCCCGTGTCACCCCCTGTGTTACCCCCCCCCGTGTCACCCCTGTGTCACCCCCCCGCCCCCCCCCCCCCCGGTGTGTTCCCTCTCGGCGCGCCGTGTTTTGGCGGCGCAGGGCGGAGGAGGCAGCTTGTTGTGGCGGCGTGGGCGGAGCAGGAAACACAAAGGCGGCTGCGGCAGACGAAGAGGGAGGCTCAGGGGTTGAGCCAGACAGACTTATCGTGTCGGAAGGGCAGGGCTGCCCGGGGGCTGCCCGGGGGCTGCCCCGGGTGTTTGCCGAGGTGTTTGCCGAGGTGTTTCGCGACGGACACTGATGGGGAGGTCTTCATCCAGCAGTGGATGACGGGGAAGGTGGCGTGTACATGGCACGGTGTGTGTATACCACGTGTGTGTGGCGCACACGGTACAGTGCATTTACCACGTGGGTGGTGTGTACATTGTACAGTGTGTACCACGTGGGTTGGTGCGCATGTACCACTGACACGTGACCCTGTGCCAAGCATAGCAGCCGGATCTCCCACACACATACCACGTGCCCCTGTCGAGAGCACGCCTCTGTCAGTTCCTCCTTGCCACTCTCTCCGTGCCACTCTCTCTGTACCACTCTCTCCGTACCACTCTCTCTCTGTACCACTCTCTCTCTGTACCACTCTCTCTGTACCACTCTCTCTGTACCACTCTCTCCGTGTCACTCTGCCACTCTCTCCGTGCCACTCTCTCCGTGCCACTCTCTCTCTGTACCACTCTCTCTCTGTACCACTCTCTCTCTGTACCACTCTCTCTGTTCCACTCTCTCCGTGCCACTCTCTCTGTGCCACTCTCTGTGTACCACTCTCTCTGTACCACTCTCTCTGTTCCACTCTCTCTGTACCACTCTCTCTGTACCACTCTCTCTGTTCCACTCTCTCAGTACCACTCTCTCTGTACCACTCTCTCTGTACCACTCTCTCTGTTCCACTCTCTCAGTACCACTCTCTCTGTACCACTCTCTCTGTTCCACTCTCTCTGTACCACTCTCTCTGTGCCACTCTCTCTGTGCCACTCTCTCTGTACCACTCTCTCTCTGTACCACTCTCTCCGTGCAACTCTCTCTGTACCCCTCTCTCCGTACCATTCTCTCTGTACCACTCTCTCTGTACCACTCTCTCCATGCCACTCTCTCAGTACCACTCTCTCTGTACCACTCTCTCTCTGTACCATTCTCTGTCTGTACCACTCTCTCTGTGCCACTCTCTCTGTGCCACTCTCTCTGTGCCACTCTCTCTCTGTACCACTCTCTCCGTGCAACTCTCTCTGTACCCCTCTCTCCGTACCATTCTCTCTGTACCACTCTCTCTGTACCACTCTCTCCGTGCCACTCTCTCAGTACCACTCTCTCTGTACCACTCTCTCTCTGTACCATTCTCTGTCTGTACCACTCTCTCCGTACCATTCTCTCTGTACCACTCTCTCCGTGCAACTCTCTCAGTACCACTCTCTCAGTACCACTCTCTCTGTACCACTCTCTCTGTGCCACTCTCTCTGTACCACTCTCTCTCTGTGCCACTCTCTCCTACGTATTTATTAACATACCTTGTTTTAGGATGGAGAACCAAAGGGGTGCAAGGCTGCGGTGAATCGCTGCTCTCGATCACGACTCTATGGCGAAGCGTCTCCCAGTGTCCCCCGCACGTCAAGCGGACTAACGCGTCTCCCCGGCCCCTTCTCCCCCTCCGCAGAACTCGATCCGACACAACCTATCTCTGCACAGCAAGTTCATCCGCGTGCAGAACGAGGGCACCGGCAAAAGCTCTTGGTGGGTCCTCAACCCCGACGGCGGCAAGGGCGGCAAGTCCCCTCGGCGCCGCGCCGTCTCCATGGAGACCAACGGCAGCAAGCTGGCGCGCAGCCGCGCCCGCGCCGTCGCCAAGAAGAAAGCGGCGTTGGGGGGCCCCGCCGCCGCCGCCGCCGCCGCCGCGGGGAATTGCGGGGGGCCGTCCGCGGGGCCGCCGGGGGAGCCGGGCGCCCGCAGCCCCGGCGGCTGGGGGGGCGGCCCGTCCGGCGCGCTGGGCCCCGACGACTTCGACGCGTGGTCCGACTTCCGGTCGCGCGCCGGCTCCGCGGCCAGCGCCGGCTCGCTGGGCGGCGGCGGCGGGGGCCGCCTGTCGCCCATCCCGGCGAGCCAGGAGCCGGAGGAGCTGCGCGAGGAGGGGGGGCCCGGGGGCGCGGGGCCCCCCTCCTTCGTGCCGACGCTCGACTCGATGAGCCTGCACGAGCGCCTGCAGCGGCGCTTCGACGACGAGCTGAGCGAGGAGCTCATGGACGAGCTGCTCGAGAGCCTCAGCGTGGATCTGCCGCCCTCCGACCACGGCGCCGGCGCCTCGACCGACGGCGGCGGCTCGCCGCGCCTCCTCGCGGACGCGCGCGTGGCGCCGCCGACGCGCGACCTCGCGGCGGCGTCGCTGGACGCGATGATGCAGCACCGGCAGCAGCAGCAGCAGCAGCGCCGGCAGGCCGCGGCCGCGACGCCGGCCGGCGCAATGGCGTCGCCGCAGCCGGGCTACGCGCAGCGGCAGCTCCACGCGGGGCCGGCGCGGTTCCTCGCCGCGCACCACCGCCTCGGCCCCGCGCCGACCGCGGGGCCGCTCGCGCAGATCGCGATGTCCGCGCCGGCTCCACACGGCTGCGTGTACGCGCCCTCGCCGCCGGGCTCGCAGCCGCCGCCGGCGCCGCCGGCGCGGCCTCACGTTATGACGGCGCAGCCCGACGCGGCGCTCTCCGCTCACTCCTTTGGCCTGATGCAGCGCAGCGCCAGCTACACCTTCGGCTTCGACAGCGCCGCCTTCCTCCCCGCAGACCCCTCGTGGTGCGGCGGTGGCGGCCCCGGTTCTCTGCAACAGCAGCAGCAGCAGCAGCACCACGCGCTGTTCACGCAGTCCCCGCCTGCGGACGCCGGCGCTCTCGACGGCCGGCGCTTGCAGGCCCTGAGCGCGACCCGCCCGTGCCCGGGACCCGGCTACAGCCCGGCCTGCGCCAGGCAGGACCACCACAGTTGCAAGCAGCTGGCGCTGCCTCCGTACCACGGCCCGCACGACCACCACCGGCACCACCAACAGCAGCACCACCATATGACGGCGCTCACACGGGGCCCTGTGTTCGGCAAGCCACCGTTCCAGCTGCCGGGCGGCGGTGGCGGCGGCGTCGATTTCTCCAACCCGACGCACACCATCCGCTACCGGCCCGCCTTCCCTTCCGCGTTCCCGGAGGCCACAGGCCCGCAAGGCCCCGCCACGCGGCCGCCCCAGCGCGGCCGCTTGCCGTGCGGCCCGGCCGACCGGGGCCTCTCCGCGGGCCTCCTGCCGCAGCTGGGGGAGCAGCCTTGCGGCGGGGCCCAGCCCAGGCTGCCCAGCGACCTGGACCCGGACATGTTCGGCGGAGGCCTCGAGTGCGACCTCGACTCGATGATCCGGCACGAGCTCACGGAGGGCGGCGGCCTCCTGGACGTCGATCTGGACACGTACGTGCAGGCCGCGGCCAGCGCGAGCCGCGGGGTGGCCGGCGGGGCCCACAGATGGGTACCCGGGTGAAGGGGGAGGGAGGGGATGGGGGGTGGGCGACCAGGAGGGGAGCAGCGGAGCCGATGAGACGTGGTGAGTTGCGGTGGGGGGGTGCCTGGCCGTACCTTGGGAGCAGTCGTGCATTCGCAGCGGTTGCGTGGTGTCCGATCGGAGTTGCGCGTTCAACTAGGAGCCATACCTAGGATAGAGAGGGCCCTTCCCCATAAACGTCTGGCTTCCCTGGGTCTGCTGGACGGCACACGACGGCCTGAGGCTCGGCGAACGGCCTCGCGGGACCTTTAGCGTCCTCCCGTGAGCGAAGCGGGTGGCGCGTGGGAGCATGCTCCCGTCAATACGCCCGCGGTGTTAACCGCAGGCGGGGCCGTCGAGGTATCGCGAACCTTGGCGACGAGGTTTCTGCGAAGGCGCTGCTGTTGGTGCCGCGTCGCCACCCTGGCGCTGTTCCCAACGGGCGTCTCGCGCCGGTCGCCAGCCGTGCCGCGGTTTCAACCCCCCACCACCCACTCCATTTGAGTGGCATTCCCACGTTGTTTGTTGTCGTTGTTTACCTGTTGTAGTGAGTTGTTTACCTGTTGTAGTGAGTTGTTTACCTGTTGTAAGCAATTTACTTCGGCCCTGTTTACCACTGCAGCGCTGCTGATGCACCACCGGCAGCTGCTGCTGCTGCCAGTAGCTCGGGTCATGCCGCGTGCGGAGGGGTCACCAACCGAGTTGTCAGTCTTAGCTCACAGCCTTTCGACGCGAAAACAGCGGGGAGCCAATCACAACTCTCCGAGGCGTCGTTGCGTAATCTGCTACGGGCCGGGGTGTTCGCTTAGCGGTGGACGTGACACAAACTCCTTCAGTAAACCGCTTAACCCCCTCTCGGCAAGTGGACTCTCCCTTTCCCGCTGCGTGATGGTTCAATGTTCCTGTGCCTCAGTTGCTGGAGTTGTTTGGGTTTCCCTCTCAGTTTCTTGCATTTCTCAGTTTCTTGGATTTGCCTATCTGTTTCTTCGGTTGGAATCTCAGTTTCTTGGGTTTCCCTATCGGTTTCTTCGGTTTCTGTCTCGTTTTCTTGGGTTTCCATCTTAGTTCATTGGGGTTTCCCTCTCAGTTTATAGGGGATCCCTCTCAGTATCTCGGGGATTCCGCCTCAGTTTCTTGGGTTTTCCCCGAAGGCTTTTCACTCGGGGTGTAGCTGATCTGATCCCGTTGAGGCCCGGCATGTAATGCATTCCTCGACTCCAGCGCTAGGACCGGAGCGTTGTGAAACGCGTGCCAATGCAGCGGGCCCCTCTGTAATGACCGCTAAAGGCAGCCCCATTGAGGGCAGAGGTCGCAGTGGCAAACAGAGGGCCCATTGTTCAGTCTGGGCCGAGCGAAGGACGGGGGTGGACGGACGATGCCACTCTCTCTGTACCACTCTCTCTGTGCCACTCTCTCTGTACCACTCTCTCTGTGCCACTCTCTCTGTACCACTCTTTCTGTACCACTCTCTCTGTACCACTCGATCTGTGCCACTCTCTCTGTACCACTCTCTCTGTACCACTCTCTCTGTGCCACTCTCTCTGTGCCAATCTCTCCGTGCCACTCTCTCCGTACCACTCACTCCGTGCCACTCTCTCTGTATCACTCTCTCTCTGTACCACTCTCTCCGTGCCACTCCCTCTGTGCCAATCTCTCCGTGCCACTCTCTCTGTTCCACTCTCTCCGTGCCACTTTTTTCGTGCCACTCTCTCTGTACCACTCTCTCCGTGCCATTCTCTCCGTGCCAGTTCCTCCGTACCACTCTCTCTGTGCCACTCTCTCTGTGCCAATCTCTCCGTGCTCCTCTCTCCGTGCCACTCTGTGCATGATGCTGATTGCGACCTCTGCTTCTTCCTCTTTTCAGGAGACGGTGCAGCTGGGAGGCCGGGGACTGCTGGGGGGAGGACGCGGGGGGCAGCAGGGTGTGGCCCACGGGGGGCGAAGTGGGAGGGAGGGGGGGCGAAAGAGTGGGTGGGAGGGACGACGACGACACGCTGGATGTGAACCCTCCACGTTCCTTTAAACTCAAATAAACTCCGACGCTTCAAAGCGCCGCGTGAATGTCAGCGCGGAGCAAAGCGCCGCGAAGGAGGAGGGGGCCGCGTGGCACGAGTCGAGCCGCAGCGTGACGGGGGCAGCTGCGGTCACGGTGGGCGGGACAGCTGCCTTCTAAGGGGTGGAGGGGGGGGGGCGATGAAGGAACAGCCGCGTGCCCCGCCGGGACCCACGGGGTGGACGGCGCGCGGAACGGAACCTGGAGCACCTAGAGACGACCTCCCACCAACCCCCTCCCACCAATCTCCTCCCACCAATCCCCTCCCCCCCTTTCCAGGAGCGAAGGGGACAGCACGCAAACTGCACAGATAGGTCAACGGCACGGAAAACCTTGCTGCTGTACTGCATTTCCGTGCGCTCCCACCGTTCACGATCATCTCCGGCCGAATCTACCAACCCTACCTCCAGACCCACTGGGTTACAGTCACGGTCGTCCACTCACCGTTTCCAGGCCGAGGCCGTGTCCGATCGTATTAAGCGCCTCAAAGGGGTTTCCCTGGCAAATGCCCTCTTAGATGGGGGGCGGGTGGTGGGGGGGCGCTCTAGAGCGCGGTGGGCGACACTGTGGGCGACACTGCTGGTGGCACAGTGACGTTGGTGACGCTGTGGGCGACGCAGCAACGCCATGTCCTCGCCACGTACCGACTGAGACGTCACGCGCAACGACCGTGTCAGTAATCCCGCCCCTGGCCCTGCTTGGCCCCAAACCAGATTTGGACGTGCTTTGTGAGGCCAACGGCGTGTTATCATCACGGTTTAGTTCCGGTTCGGCTCAGCCGGACCGTTGGAGCGCCGTGCCAGCTCGGCCCGGCATTGGGAGTGACACTCAGTGACCAGCAACCCCCTCCCGCATCACGGAGTTGGCGACACCTCTCGAGTCCCCCACAGGCGCTGAAACACGTGGGGGTGTGTGGGAGTGTGTGTGGGGGTGTGTGTGGGTGTGTGTGGGTGTAGGTATGTGTGTGGGTGTGTGTGTAGGTGTGTGTGGGCTGGGTCATGTAGCCCGCATGCCCAGCCACCGCATGTTGAAACAGCTTTTGTTCGGCCGGATCGAGGGGGCTAAACGGGCGCGGCACGGGCTAGAGAAGAGATGGAGTGATGTGGTACAGGAGGACGTGGAGCTGAGTGGACTTGCCGATGACTGGTACCAGCGGTGTCAAGATCGGCCTCTGTGGAGGAGGCTCGTGAAGGACGCTACTGGGCAGTTGGAGGCAGTCGCCCTCCAACAACAACGGAGGGCGAAGGAGCGATGCTCACAACAACGAGCGGAGCGCCGGGTGGCTAAAGCACAGCAGGTTGGCACAGTAGGGGGCACAGGTAGTGCATCAGCCAGTCATCTCAGTCATCTTAGTCAGTCGACCCGTGGCACTTGGGTCTGCCCCGTGACCTCCTGCCAGCAGGCGTTCGACACTTCACGTTGCCTCAAGGTGCACATGGCCTGGCACAAGCGTCGTGGTGACGTCACCGCCACTTAGTGGCGAATGGCGGTTGTTATGTGTGGGTGTGTGTGGGGGTGTGTGTGGGTGTGTGTGTGTGTGGGTGTGTGCAGCCCATGGGCTTGTAATTACCAAAACGCTGTTCCGGCATCGGCGCATCCACACAACATCATGGATGCATGCCGGGTCCAAGCAAGAACATCTGCTGGACTACATAGTGACGGACCAGCGGATGCGAGCCCATGTCTTTGACACCAGGACCTACCGTGGAGCTGATCTGCCCTCTGACCATCGACTAGTCATTTGTAAGATGCGCCTGCCATTCTTCCACTCCGGTGGTGGGTGTACACCCAGGACCCCATTCCAACCTAAAGTGGCCTGGTCTCAGCTGATGAAAGTTGCAAACGAGAATTTCATCATCGCTTGCGGCTGGGGTTGGCATCGTTCCCCACTCCTCCTGATGTCAAGGGTAAATGGGCGAGGTTTAGGATTGTGACTCATCCAGCTGCAATGGCTGCTTTGGGTACGCGGTCCAGACCTCCCCAGAGACCCTGGCTGACAGAGGAGGTGTTCAGGATAGTTGAGAAAAAGCGACGGGCCCACTGTCATCGGCTACAGAATCCCATGTCAGAGAATGAGGAGGCTTACCGCAGCCTTCGCTCGGAGGTTCGGAGAGCCGTGAGGCGCTGCAAGGATGGGTGGTGGTCGAGGGTTGCTGAGGAGATGGAGTCTGCCTCAGTGGCCCGTGATCACAAATCTCTATTTAACTCCATCAAAAAAGTAACCTGCAGCGCCACACCTATTACCATCATTAGGATAAAAAACGGTGATCCAATCTCTGACCCCCAGGAACAGGTTTGCAGATGTGCTGAGCATTTCTGTGAGGTCCTGGGGGAGGGGAAATCCCTCAGCCAGGAAGACATCGTGGCACAAAGTGGGGATAACCCTGCTGAGGCTGCAGTGCCTCAAATATTGGAAGAAGTCAGTGAGTGGCTGGCTGAGGTGCCATCTGTTGAGGAAGTACTGAAGGCGATCCAGAGTCTGAGACCAGGAAATGCACCGGGCAGAGATGATCTCCCAAGCGAAATGCTGAGGGAGGGTGGCGCTTGTGCACAGACTGAACTATATGACATCATAACAGTCTGGACCACTGGACGGGTTCCGCAGGATTGGAAGGATGCCCTGGTGGTCCCCTTCTGTAAGAAGGGGGACCGCACAGACTGTAACAACTACAGGGGCATCTCACTCCTCAGTGTGCCGGGAAAGGTCCTGGCAAAGATTATTCAACATCGCCTTGCCAGGCACGCTGAGGAGAGGCTTGCGGAGCCCCAATGCGGTTTCAGGAAAGGGCGGTCTTGCACAGATGCCATATTTTCTGTCCATCTGCTACAGCAGAGGTGTAGGGAATTCCAACAAGACCTACATCTCTGCTTTATTGACCTGGTCAAGGCCTATGATAGCATCAATAGGCCTGGGCTCTGGGTTCTTCGTGCTTTTGGAGTCCCTGAC